TGGAATTCGAAGAAACAAAATTCATTTGCACTGTCCACTGCCGAGGCTGAGTACATTGCTGCTGGGAACTGTTGTGCCCAACTGATGTGGATTCGTCAGATGCTTAAGGATTACGGAATTGATCAAGACTCATTCACTCTTCTATATGATAATACAAGCGCCATCAACATATCTAAAAATCCTGTCCAACATGGGAGAACCAAGCACATTGACATCCGTTACCACTTCATCAGAGATTTGGTGGAAAACGGGATCTGTGATTTATAACATGTTGGAACACTTGAGCAGAAGACGGTTATTTTTACAAAAAGTCTCAACGGCGATCGGTTTGAAAAACTTCAAAGAGACCTTGGTATATGCTTCTGCCCTAACTGATCTACATGCATGGATGATAAATAAGGTCTCCAATTTATTGGTGCTAAATATAATTATTGGAGACTGCACATTATTTGAAGTTTTCTTTAAAAAAAAAAAAAAGGAATTGAAGGAGTAATTATGGAGGATTTTTACTGGAAACTAGTGATTTGACTGCGCTGTTAGAAGGGTTGCAGTTTTTGATGTGATCACAACGTCTCTTCAGCTCTTCAGCTTTATGAGGGATTTTGAATTTGAATTTTTTGAATGGTGGGATACATCTTTCCCCCCTTATTTCTGCCTATTTATTTGGGATATGATATAGTGGCGATAACCACTTCATACAACCCTTATTCTTCTTGTTTTTTCTCTCTCATCTTTCAACCCACCGAAGTCATGGCACACACAAGATATGGTGGAATTATCAGTGGAGGAAGCTCCTCTAGACGAGGACGTGCACGAGGTCGAGCACGCGGAGGACGCCGAGGAAGAGTTGTACCAACACCAGAGGTTGTTGTTCCCTTGGAAGAGACTCACCAAGCTCAGCAAGAAGAGGTCACTGCAGAAAACCTTACTGGAATTTCAGGCTTGTGACAATCGAGAAGAAGTCACTCCAGCAGAAACAAGAGAAAATATTGATTCTGGTCGAGAAGTTATTCCTGCTGTTACTGAGGCTGAGGCTGAACCTGGAGAGGTTGGTCAAATAACTGGAGAAGAACAGGAACCTGCTCCTGCAACCGTCCTCTCTGAAACTGCCCCTAAGCCATAACAAATGGAAGTTGCAGTTGCCCCAACTGATGTGAATACAGAGGAACAACCTCATGTTGCTTCACCTATTCATGAATATGCAAGGGAAGCTGAGATTGAGATTCCATATGTGGATCCCTCTGTCCATCAAGAAGCGGAGGAGGCTGAAATCTTCACAACATCTCGTCAACTACGTCGCCACAAGGTTGACACCAAGAGAAAAACCATTGTTCGTGTATTTGATCCAGTAAAGACAAAGAAAGCCAGAAAAGGGACTGCGCGAGCAACTTCTAAATCGAAGAAATCAAAATCCTCTGTCCAATCTTCCGTGGCAAGTGAGATAACTGCTGAAGATGCCATGGATTACACTCATTTTGATGATTCAGCAGAACTGTTTGAGTATGATACTCTTGCCAATCGAGGTTTCATTTCTGAGATGAAATTCACTCACGAAATTCACGTAGAGGTTGGATTTATAGACTTCCTGCAAGAACGAGACCTATTCTTCTGGGCCACAGGCTTTAAAAGGTACTGTCCTAAAATTGTACGCGAATATTACGCTAAACTCCCAAAGTTTTTGTTGGATGAAGGATCTCCATGGTATCACCGGACGTACGTTCGAGGGAAGATGATTGATCTTAGTCCCTCCGTTATCAATGAGCTGTTGCAACTGCCTACTGACAACCCCGAGGATCTGCCTTCCTCTTTTTTTTTTTCTTTTTTTTTTTTTTTTTTTTTTTTTTCTGAAACAAAACGTGAAGTAGCACTTTTCATTTCTGCCCGCAAAGTTGAAGATTTTGGACGTGTCGGACTTGTTGAACAATTGACCATTAAAGCTATCCTTGGAGATCATCGGCAAAAAATAACCCGAGACCTGAATTTACTTCAACAAGATCCCCATACTGTTGAAAATGAGGAGGTAGAAGTCCTTGAGTCCTCCCTCTAACGCCTTTTTGAGCATATGCACCTTGCAAGGGGGAGATCGATGATGTTGCAGGAAGGGAGAGTTGGAAGGAGCTCTTGGGAAGTCCTCTCTGTTTGGTTGCTATTGTTTGCTGCTGTTGGCCATTGCTGCTGTTTTTCTATTTTTGTTGATCTGCTTTCTTCAGACGGTTGTTGAATTGTTGTTTTCACAACCGTTCTACCATTTGGTGTACAAGGCTGTGTGTAGCCTTCTTTGTTTATTGGCCTGTATGTTGATTACTTATACTGGATGTTTTTGGTACTGACTGACTTGATTGGATTGATTGTGTGGGATGCTCTTCCTGCACATTTTTTTTTTTGCATGAATCCATATGCCAAAATGGGGGAGAATGTAAATAAACACTCCCTAAGTTTATTTTGGCATATGGTCCGTCAGACTTTCTTCACGCTGCAGCCACCTTAACTTTTTTAGCATTCGTAGGTTACAAGAAGATTGTATCTGCAACCCTTGCAGTCTGAATCTGTGTGCTTTGAATTATTCATTTTGTCCAAACATTAAATTCCTGCAAGAGTCAAACTTGGTATTTAGGGGATGATCAGACTTGTGCAGAATCATTGGATAACACTCCATCATTTTCTATGCTAAGTGAAATTAATGTGAAGTGTGTTCTTTCCAAGGATACATAGAATATACAACCAAAGAAGACAAACAAGTTGGTGTGTGAGTTGGGTGCAGATCTTAGAGAGAAGATTCTTGAGAAAAGCTCTCACCACCCATCCAGTTCAACTCTCCACATTTTGAATGTGTGTTCTACACTGATAGCAACTGGAGAGGTCGAAGGTGTTCGGAATTAATGGAGTTCCAGCCGGAGGGAATAATCAAGCTCTGGACTTCTTTGTTGTGTGGTCGTTGTTAGTACGAGGTTGTAGCAACGTGAACCTGATGAGGTATTTTCCTGGGTTAACCATGACAAACGTTAGAGTTAAATGCATTGTGGTTGTTTGTATCTTTAATCAACACTGGTTAGTGGAATTTCTCCTGGATTGGTATCCCACGAATGTAGATTTGTTGATAATCGAACCGGATTAACAAATACTTGTCTCATTGTTGTTTTATTTTCTGCATTGTCTTTCGTTGTTAACTGTGAACTGCCCACGCTTAGGGAGTTGACTCTTCAAAGTGTTTGAATATGTTTTGTTCGATAAATCACTTCTCCAACATGTTTCACTTCAAAAATATTAAAATTAATATTAGTATAAAGAAAAAAAAAAGTCATAAAAGTGTGTTTGATTTATGATTTTACTTTTATCGTTGTGTTTGTACCTTTTATTTTTAATATTTAATGTGATTAATGATTTGAATTTTTATGAAATAATTGAAATAGGCAAATGAGACACCCTCCATAAAAGTAGATCAAATTCAAGAACAAATAATATTAGTACATCTGTCAAAACGGGATAGTGGGGCGGATTGACCCACAACCCACCCTAATTCGCAAATAAACGGGTTGTTTGCGGGCCAACCCGGAGCGGGGCGGATCAAAATTTCATCAGCCCAATTCAACCCACCGGTGGGTGGCGAGCTAAGCGTGCTAGCCCACGGGCTTTTTAAAAATATTAAAAGAATATTAATATTATAAATATTTTCGTAATTAATATTTTAAAATAGCTAAAAATAGTTTTATTGTAGAATTTAAATAATAAATAATTTAAAATAAATAACAAATATAAAAATTCTCAATTCTAAATATTATTAATTGGTGTATTAAAAAAAATTAATACTAAGAAATACTTCATTTTAAAAATAAATCATAATTGATTTTATGAATTTGTAAAATTATAAAATAATAAAATGGAAGACGAACAAAACAAATGATGAAAAATCGAAACAAATAACAATGTCATGAATAACATAGTTAGAGAAGAAAAACAACCGTGTAGACAATATTGATAATTTATTTAAACTAATGATAATATAAATTTTATTTTATTCGTTTAACTTATTTATAATAGTATGTTTGTAATTTATAAAAAATTAAAATATATTCTTATATTAATATTTTTTGATTAGTTTTATTATAATTTTTTAATATGACAGTAAAAAATGGTAAAAAATACATTTAGTTAGACGAGTGAGTACTAATTATTATATTTACTTGACCGGCGGGCTAACCCGCCTCACTGCGGGCTAACCCACCCTCACATTTTAGCGGAATTTAAAAAATCACAACCTAAACCCTCTTTAAAAGTAAGATGGGGTGGGCCAACCCGACGGGCTCAACCTATTTTGACGACTCTAAATATTAGTAATATTATTTTTTTCTATATTTTTTAAAATTAAATATATTTTATATGTAATTAAATTAATAATAATGATTAAGACCTATAATTAAAAATTGGAGTAACTACAATATTATTTTGATTTGATGATTTTTTTAATACAAAATGTAGAAGATGTATCTATAATATAAAAAAAATTATATTTTAGGTTAAATATTGATTTTTGTAATCTATATATATATAATTGTGCATTAAAAAAAAAAAGAAAAAAAAGGCCAAACCAATCTTATATTTTTACTTTAAAAAAAGAAAATAGAATTATGGAAAGCAAAAAATTGGTGAAATCAATTTAAAACGGCGTGGAATGTAGTTAAAATGAAAGTGACATTAGGGTTTGTTTGTGTGAGTTTGAATTTTGAGGTAAAATTTGAATATTAAAAAATTTGAATTGAAATAATTATATAATGTGATATAAATAAATACTGATGTGATATTTTGAATGTAAATTTAATTTTTTTTATATAATATAAAAAATAAATATTTGATTTGATATTTTTGAAAAAAAAATTTATATGAACAATAAAAATCTTAAAAAATCCTTGGAACAAACACCTTAGGTTAAAATCACAATTGAGTTGAGAAGGTGGGTGGGTGGGAGTCCCCACGTCGTCCACGTTTTCACAGTTTCTTCTTCTTCATCATCATCAGTTCTTCTTCTTCTTCACTCGACAACTGAAATTACTTTCCATTTCCATTTCCATTTAGAAATTAATTAATTAATTAAATGGGTTCCTCCTCCTCAATCCTCCTCTTAAGCGCCATCATCACTCTCCTTCTCTCTCCCGCCCAATGCAAGGACCTCCTCGTCGGCGGCGACGCCGGATGGGTGGTGCCGCCGCCCAACAACCACCACTTCTACAACGATTGGGCTTCCAGGAACCGATTCCGCACCAACGACACCCTCCGTGCGTAACTAATTCTCCCCTAATCTGCTCATGGATTCATATCATAACTGTGTATATATCTAATCCAATGTCTATTTAATTAGGGTTTCAGTACGAGAAGGAGTCGGTTATGGCGGTGGCGGACGAAGAGGAGTACGAGCAATGCCGGTCGTCGCACCCTATGTTCTTCGCCAACAATGGCAACACGTCGGTGACGCTCGATCGCCCCGGTCTCTTTTACTTCATCAGCGGCGTCGCCGGCCACTGCAAACGAGGCCTGAAGATGATCGTCAAGGTTCTCGAACCGCCATCTCCGCCGCTGCAGGCCGCCGATGACCGTTCGTCTCCCAACGGCGCAACCGCCGTCGCCGTCGCCGTTGCCGGATTCATTCCCACTGTTTCGGCACTCTGCTCATTCCTTTAATGTAGTATATGATTTTCTTTTGTGTTTTATTATTATTATTATTATCATTTAGCAACAAAAATGTATTAGGCAAAGTGTAGAATTTTTCCGTGAATTATTTGATGTTGTCTTATTTTCATTTGAAATTGAAATTAAAATTACAACCATAATTCATTTTATCGTACTCTTTTTTTTTTTTTAAGAAGTATATAGAATTTTTTTAATTAAAAATAATATATTATAAATTAAAAAGATATTTATTAGATATAATAAATAATACAATTATTAGTTAGAAAATAATCCTCTTTTGGAACGAATAGAAATTGAAGCTAAAATTAAGCTTTTCAAGTAAGAAAGTCATTTAGATTATTTAACGACCAATTCTTTAAATCCAAACAAACACGCCCACTATTTTGCAATGAAAGCAAGCAAATTCCATGTTCGTTCAAATCGGAAATGAGAATTTCGAAACTCCTTGTTTCGATATCAGATTTTTTCCGACGAGGATGCGATACAAACTTCTTATCTCTTCGTCAGTCCGGCAGCAATAGCGGTCGTAAGCGGTGGCTCTAGAACAGCATCAAAGAACGGCGGTTTCGATCGACTTCTTCCGGAGGACACAACGGGCAGCTCCGGCGGTCAGCGGCTATGCATGACTGGACAAGGGCTGGGCAGCGACTGTTCGACTTCAAACAGCTCAGCTCTGGTCCTCTTCTTTGTGTTGGATTCAGAATGACCATCTCACTTAAAAGTTTGAACTATTAGAAAAACATAACAATTAATTATTTATCCGCAAACGGGAGTTCCCAACACTTTGTTAGTCTTCAAAGTTTCGGTTTTCTCTGTTCTTCCACCTATCTTCTTGGGACTTTGAATCTTCAACTCTTCGGCAAAGGAGACAATGATTTTTGGTTCAGCCTATAGTGAATTGGCATATGGTAATCATGCTTCAAGGTTGGAAGCCGGTGCATCACTCTAAGCCTCAATACACATTGAAATCAGCATTCGGAAAGGGCTTCTACTCTCACTGGAGACTCACCGAAGCACTCGCCAAAATCTCGGGTTCTCTATTTTCCTAAATTTGGTTTGAGTTTGGTATTAAAATAATATATGATGTGACGTTTTATGTGAGAAAAAAATATATTTTTTTCGAAAAACGTAAAGTCCAAATAATAAAACTATATATTAACAGATTGAGAATAAAAGATTGAACTCATTAGGTTAACTCTCGATTGATCAAAATTCCCAACAATTGGGTACACTATCTTCAATTTTTTATTTTTATTTTTATTTTTATATTTTTTTGATGACATGTTTAAACTAAGGCATTTAAAGTGATTAAGAATCTCAACAACCTCATCATTGTTCAATTTCCACGAATAAATGGATTGGTTGATTTATCATTTATCCGAGCCACTACTAATAAGAAGTCACTTTCTATCACCATTTCTCCATTAGAGCTTATCTGATTGAAAGACTTTTGAACTTGATCCTCCAAGTCAATTAAAAAATATTTGAAGAAACTGTAATTTTTCAATGTCAGCCTAAAACTTCAAACACAATTTTTTATATTTCACATAAATCAAATATTTTAAACTAAAATACTATGCTAAACACACGTCTTATTAGTATTAATTTTTTTTTTTTTCTTTATCTCTCGGTTATAATTTTTTAAAATTTTATCTCTATTATTTTTGTAATATTCGACCTTATAAATATAAATTATTCCTTTCATTTATTAATAAATCTCTACTAAGACAAAAGAATTTTTTTGCACACAACGAAATATCTAAAAAACTAACAATTTTTACTTAAAAAAATAGTAATAACCAACATGTTAAAAATATATTTTTATGAACTGATTTACATAACATTCTGAATTAAATAATTCTCTATAAATATTATTAGATATACACACATATTAATAGAATATATATTATTTATTCATAAAAAAATCAATTATTTAATACAAAATATTATTTTTTATATTACCAACATAGTTGTTCGTATCACACATTATTTTTTATATTACCAACGCAGTTAATATACCACACATTATTTTTTGTATTACCAAAATAGTTCTCCGTACTATAAAGAAAATTAAATTTATCTAAAAATATTAAGTGAACAGATTATTTAATTTAGAAATTTATTTTACACTATATTTCAAATATTTTTTCCCTAATTTTTTAAAACGAGACGTTTTCTCTGTATTCCATATTTATAGATCTATAGTATTCTTTTATGAATTGATTTATACTCTTTATCATTTACATTTTCAAAATTACTATGTTCGTTTGAGTGTTTTTATTTTATTTATATTATTAACAAATAGTATTTTTTTTCCAAAAATATTAAATTAAGTAGTATTTATTTTTTATTTTTATATTATATTAAAAATTAATTTTATATTCGATATATCATATTATCCTTATTTGTATTAATATCACATTAAGAATAATTCAAATTCAAAATTTTTAAAATTTAAATCAAACTCAAAATTAAAATTTAAAAAATAATAGGACACAATGTTTGTTTTGTGAAATAATCTAAAAGAATATTCTTATACATAATATACAAACAATTATATAAGTAATAAAAATATTATTATTATTATCATTTTTTTGAAAACATATACTTTTGAAAAATTGCGTGTTTTTTTTTTTTTCAAACAAACCATGTTTAAAAATTTTCGACTCCTTTACCCGTTACCCATTTAATGCCCATCTTAAATAATTTTACTTTTCAATATAATATTAGTTGCTACATTTCAATTTTCAACTTTAAAAAAATGATATTTTTATGTTTTCTTAATATTTCATCTTTGTAAATATATAAAAATAATTATATATTTAAATATTTTATTTCTAGAAACTACTATATTTTTATTAAGGGAAAAAATCAATTTAAATATAATCAAAGTTTATCAATTTTAGTCTCAATATAAAAAATTAATCAATTTTAGTTATATTATAAATAATTTAAATCAATTTTGGTCATATTATAAACAATTTTAATCAATTTGGTTTTACCGTTAAAAAATTAACAGTGACGTAGGTAACGGGATGACATGACAGCTGACTTCAAAATTACACGAGCATGTACAATTATATAAAGCTATGTTGTCACACAACCATATATATTTTAGTATATGATTATATATGACCATATTGCTACACGACTATATATAATTCTACAGGACAGTGTACATTTCTATTTTGTCTGAAATATTATTTTTTTATTTTTTATATTTTGAATATTTTTAATTACTCCATATATTAATTAATTTATAATAATAATATTATTATTTAATTCTAAATAATGGGCGTGGGTGCGGAGTGGACGGCCGACTTTTTATTGCAGCATCTCAATCATCATTATCATCATCATCTATCGTCGTCTTCGTCATAGTTCACTGTATTCTCAATTTCTCATCTCTTTCTCTTCTCTCTACTACGTATCTTATCCATTCCAATCCAATCCTTCTTTCCATACCAATACCATACGCATTTGGCATCTCCATTTTCAACGTCTCTCTCCCTGCTCCTTCTCTTCTTATCACCTTCTCCAGCTCGCCAAATATTCCAATCTCGCATTCGCATAAGGTAAGGTAAGTTAACCTAATTTGATATTTACTCCATCTTTCGCATCTCTGTGTTCTAATCCCAACCAATGCTTTATTTTTTGTTTGTTTTTTTGTGTTCTACTCAATAATTAATTAGGTTTTTCCCCATTTTCGTGGCCTCAGATTTGTTTGCAATTTGTCTGCACTATTGTGAGGTTTTGGATTTTTTGTATTTATACTGCAAGATAATTCGATTAATTATGTGATCTTGATGCGATTCTATGAGTTCGAATCGATCCGAAGCGTGTTTGTCGCATCTGCTTTGTGATGCAAAATGATTGTCAGATCTGGTCCATTTTTTGTTTTCCGAAACGGTGGATTGGGGTTGAGTAGGTGGGTAGGTCATTGGTGAGGTGAGTAGGTGAGTTTTGTGTACACATCTCTGGAAATCTGTATTACCACTCTCTCTGATTTTGGTCAATCGCTCCAATATTTGATTCAGCTTTTCATTTCTGGTTAGATCTCAGTTTCAATCTACCTGCAGTTTTATCTCTCTTTATCAGAGGCATCACAACTGGTTAATTTGATTGTCACTTTGTCTGCTTTAGATATGAATTATTGCTTAGCAATGGAATCAAACGCAGGTTAAAGCTCATTAGCCTATGGCCTTGAAAGGTATCCTTTCAAATTCGTGTACATTAGCTTGTGTTATTCATCTATGCATTTGCTCTTCTTCAAGCACTCTAGCTTTATGGCTTTTGAAAAATTTTAGGTACTCGGCATCTGTGTGTGGTCGAAAACAGTGTTGGAAACTCGGCATTGGGTATGAAACAGGCTGGGATAGAGAAATTTGATCATTGTAGGATCGGTGAACTTGATATGGAATTCGAATCTAATCTGATAAAGCATACACAAACATCGATCGTAGCTGCTCATGAGATCCATTTTTCAACCTCTGTTATGCGTTGGTCGTGTAGAATTCCTATCGAAGAAGGATTCTACGAGTTCCTTTAGTTAGCCGTGTTGATGCTCCGCTCAAGAACACATTGTTGCGAACGTTGTTTCTGGTTCCTGCTCGTCTAATCTTCGATTTGCTGCAAAATGCCGGGACCTATTTCTGCAAAGAGAATCAAAGAATCATCAGTTATGTGTTTCTCAGATGCTTCGTCCGTTAAAGGCAGCGCCACAATCTTGGTATCTAATGGTAAAAGCGAATCGACTGTAGTTTCTAAGGCAGTCGAAGATTTTCATAGCTCAATTCTGCCTGGTCTGCCCGACGATGTTTCAAAATACTGCCTTGCTCTTGTGCCTCGATCCGATTTCTCGGCAATGGGCGCCGTCTCGAAGCAATGGAGATCCTTCATCAAAAGTAAAGAGTTCATAATTGTTCGAAAACTCGCCGGATTGCTCGAGGAATGGCTATATGTCCTGACTGTAGACGGCGATGGGAAAGAAAGCCGCTGGGAAGTTCTCGATTGTTTCGGACGCAAGCACCACGATCTCCCGACGATGCCGGGCCCCCATAAGGTGGGCTTCGGCGTCGCATCTCTCAACGGGAAGCTTCTCGTCGTCGCCGGGTACTCTGTTCTCGACGGAACCGCCTCCGTATCCTCCGACGTTTACCAATACGATTCGTGCCTCAACTGCTGGAGCAAACTAGCTGGGATGAACGTCGCGCGGTACGACTTCGCCTGCACCGAAGTGAACGGGAACATCTACGCTGTCGGAGGCTGCGGCGCGGACGGAGAAGCTCTGTCGAGCACGGAGATTTACGACGCGGATGCCGACAAGTGGACGGTGATCGAGAGCCTGCAGCGGCCGAGGTGGGGCTGCTTCGCCTGCGGGTTCGGAGGCAAGCTCTACGTAATGGGCGGGCGTTCGAGCTTCACGATTGGGAATTCGAGGTTCGTTGATGTCTATGACCCGGCGAGCCGGGCGTGGGCGCGGATGAAGAACGGGTGCGTCATGGTTACTGCACACGCGGTGGCCGGGAAGAAGCTGTTTTGCGTGGAATGGAAAAACGAGCGGAAGCTGGCGATATTCAGCCCGGCGGATAACTCGTGGGAGAGGGTGGCTGTTCCGGTGACGGGAAGCTCGACTGTCGGGTTTCGGTTCGGGATATTGGACGGGAAGGTGCTGCTGCTGGCGGCGCAGGAGGATCCCGGATATCGGACGCTGGTGTACGATCCGGAGGCGGGTGAGTGGCGGAGCTGTGGGATTAAGCCGTCGGGGCTGTGCGTTTGCAGTGTGACCATAAGAGCGTAAGCTGTTTGTTTGTTGGTTATTTATTATTATTATTATTATTATTATGTGGTAAGGAAGGACGAATGATTTGTCTTTGACTCTATTTATTGGTTGTTGTTTTGAAATGATTTTAAGATGGTTTGGTTTGGGGTTTGTTTTCATGTTGGGACATGTTTTTGAAAGTGTTGTGGTAAAACATGGGCTTAATCAGAAAAACTTGCTAGAATGGATTTGTTCTAAGGGTTTTTGGGTCTCCTCAATAAATGATCCGGATTATATCGTGATAAATGAGTGATTAAAGTAACAGAAAAGTAAAAAATAAATTTAATAATGCAAGGAAAGGGCTGAAAATTAAAGGAAAAATTGGAACTTTATAAAAGAAAACTCTAAAAAATAAAATGGCTGTTTTTGAAAGAAAAAATTACCCTAAAAAATAAATTGAAAAGAAAAAAATGATGTTGAATGTTGTGTTGTCTTTGATCCTATGGTCTTGCATATTTAATCTTGTTATTTTTGGTTGAAATTGTTTTGATAAGATCTTATTTCTATTTTTTCTCCAATAAATTTAACCACATTTCAACCACTTCCACATCCTTCTGACCGAGCTTTCTTCTCCTGCTGGGCCATCCTCAAGCTGAACTGGACCATTAACATTGGGTCAGGCAGGTCGGCAGGCCGGTTCGCTAGTTTGGTCCGTCTTGGGGCAGCCGAAAGTTGGGCCGAAAATCATCTTTCTTAGGTTGTGCTTGTACTGGGACGGTCCAATTAATTTTGGGTGTGTACAAATGCTCCAAAAAATCATCTGGACAAGAATTAACTCGTGTCCTCATGGTTTTGCCAAATACCTGGTGTTTCCGTGCTTCCTCGGCCTGTCCAACCCTTTTTTTTTTCTGCTTCTGGAAGGTCATCGTTAACTATAGTCTGATTGTGCCTTCCTTTTAGATCCCAAAGAGAAATGATAGAACCTTTTAAGATGTCTTTTATTGATAAACGTCTTTAGCTCCTCTCTTTCGGGTTTCATCAATCTATATGCGCCGTTAGATGACTTGGCCGATATGATAAACGACCTTTCCCATGTAGGGGACTATTTCCCGAGCTTCGCATCTTTGGGGCCTTCCGGGAGAACGGCTTTCCAGAGCATGTCACCTTCTTGTAAGGTCTGAGGCCTCACGCGCTTTCAGAATGTCGATTCGGCCTTCCTCTTTTGATACTGAATGCATTCAAGAGCCTGCAATCTCTTTTTGGGCAAGGCGTCGAGCTCTTGGAGCAAGGTTTGGTGCTGCTTTTCCAACGACAACTGGTTCATCTTCAAGATCCAGAGAGGACACTGTAATCTCCAATGGAAGCACAACGTCATGACCGTAGGTCAGCCTATAAGGAGTGCTCCCGGTTATGGAGGATTTAACATTCCGATATGCCCATAAAGCCTCTTCCAAAGTATCATGTCAGCCCCTCGGGTTGTCCTCCAGCGCTTTCTTGATAATGAAAATCAAGATTTTGCTCATCGCCTCAGTTTGTTCATAAACCTGAGGATAGTACGGAGACGAATGAAGCAAGTGGATCCGGTATTAGGCTGTAAAAGCCTTGAATTCATAGCTCAGACAGCATGCTGAAGTCCCATCAGATCTCCGTCGATACAGCTCCCCATCTATTTGAGTGTATTTTAGAAGCTGATGGTGCACTGCTTTTGAAACGACCTTCCCGGGGCCCGTTAGACCTTCCAGCAGCGGGGTTCACCAATTTAGGTCCTGGTCAGCTTGCAAACATTCGTATCTTGGCTGTATTCCTTTTTTTTAAACTCGAAAGCCCATTGCGCCAAGTCATTTGCCTCTAAATTTTTTTCCTGAGGTATGTCCTCCAACGTCACCTCCGTGAGCTGCTGAAAGAGGTCATGGGCTTCTCGAAGAAGGTCCTGAAGTCGTGGTTCTTTGCACTTGAATTCTTTGAGGGCTTATCAAATAACCAACTGAGAATTCCCTCGAATGACGACTTTCTTCACCTTCTTTGTGACCAAGAATTGCAACGCTAATAGTAGCGCCTCGTACTCACCTTGGTTATTCGTGACACCTTGCGGAAGTTGGTGGGCAAATCGCCACATTTTTGTTTTTGGATTGGAGATCACCACGCCTGCTCTGGATGCTCCCGAGGTGTTGGATCCATCGAAAGTAACCAGCCAAGGTTCCAGTCCCACGTAATCCAAGGGGACGGCCCGAACCATCCTATGATGTTCGGCCAAGAAATCAGTGATGGCCTGTTCTTTCACGGCCTTAAGGGGCTGGTATGTCAAAGAGAATGATGCTAGTTTTAGCACCCATTTAACTAAACGACCTATGAGGGCTGGCCTGTTCAATAAATAGCGTAGAAGGTTGACTCTGCATATTACTTTAGTCTCAACATGCATTAAATAATACTTTGATTTCGTGCATGCATTATATAACAATAAACAAAGTTTTTCAATGCACGAATAGCGAATTTCAACATCATTTATCGTCTTGGATGAGGAGGTAACCTGTTGTATCGTTGGTCGTGGCCATGTACAGCTTCAGCTCCCTTTCACTGATTGACGGCATTAACACCGGAGGTGATGCTAACGCCTGCTTAGTCTGGTCCAGGCTTCTTGCTGGGCTGCTCCCCAATCGAATACGTCTTTATTCCCATGCAACAACACCGAGAAGGCTTTCATTCTTATAGCCGCATTGGTGATGAATCTCCGTGTTGATTATAAGAAGACATTTTTCTTCAGTCTTTAAGAAAGATTCTTTTAGAATTATCATAACTTTGGTGGCTCATTATGATTTACAGTTACACCAAATGGATGTGAAAACAACCTTTTTAAATGGAAATTTGGATGAGAAAGTTTATATGGAGCAACCTGAAGGCTTCTCCATTACATGATAGAAAAATATGGTGTGTAAACTTAAGAAATAAATATACGTGCTTAAACAAGCTTCCCGACAATGGTATCTCAAGTTTCATGATACCATAAATTCTTTTGGATTTAATGAAAACACCGTCGATAAATGCGTGTATCTGAAATTTAGTGGGAGTAAGTTTATTTTTCTGGTCCTGTATGTTGATGACTTGCTTGCAACGAATGATCTTGGTTTATTATGTGATACCAAGAAGTTTCTCTCTAAAAACTTTGAATGAAGGATATGGGTGAGACATCCTATGTGATCGGAATAGAAATATTCCGTGATAGATCATAGGGATTGTTAGGATTGACTCAAAAGACATATATCAACAAAGTTTTGGAGAGATCAAGAATGGAAAAATGCTTTTCTAGTGTCGTTCCAATTTAGAATGGGGACAAATTCAGTTTCAAGCAATGTCCACATAACGAATTGGAACACAAACAAATGAATGAAATTCCTTATGTATAAATTGTGGGAAGTTTGATATAAGCACAGACTTGTACAAGGCCAGACATCAGCTTTTCTGTTGAAATGCTTTGTTGATACCAAAGCAATCCTGGATTAGATCATTGGAAGGCCGCAAAGAAAGTGTTGAGATACCTGCAAGGGACAAAAGACCACATGCGTCTTATTGTCTAGAGGTGGTTGGTTATTCAGATTCGGATTATGCCGGATGTGTTGATACAAGAAAATCCACTTTTGGATATTTGTTCCTACTAGCCGGAGGAGCAATATTATGGAAAAGTGAGAAACAGTCTGTCATAGCTGCGTCCACTATGAAAGTTGAATTTGTGGCATGCTTCGAGACCACAGTTCAAGGAAATTGGCTGCGGAACTTTATTTCAGGGCTTGGAATAGTCGACATTATTACCAAGCCACTGAAAATTTATCGCGATAATTCCGCAACAGTTTTCTTTTCAAAAAACGATAAGTATTCCAAATGTGCAAAACATATGGATCTAAAGTACCTTGCCATTAAAGAAGAGGCTCATAAACAAAATATGTCAATTGAACATATTAGCACCAATCTTATGATTGCGGATCCGTTGGCTAAAGGATTGCCTCCTAAGACATTTATTGCACATGTTGAAAGAATGGGCATTATGAATGTAATTTGAGGAACATTATGTTTATGTATTTGACAACTTGAGCTCCTTTATGCATTGTTTCTAAAATTGAATATTTTCTTGTTCATTTATTTGTGCGCATGATTGTTTGAACAAGATGCAGTCTATCTTAGACATTAAAGTGGACCATTATCGATGTTTTCAATTATGAATGAATTAAGTAGAAAATTAGTATGTGGTACATGGAAGGAACTATGTCGATTCAATAACATAGAACCGCTATGACTCATATTAGTATACACTTAATTAATGATGTTTGACTTGTACCAATAAAATTTATTATTTTATTTAAACCATGAAGACATGTTTTGTCACTCGGCCAAGTGGAAGAATGTAAGATGTGACCTCGTGTCACTTATTAATTAATGGTTTAAATATAATAATAATAATAATAATAATAATAATAGACTTGGTCTAGTCAAATTAAAAGTGGTTTAAAACCTTTATCATTATCCTACGTTGATAGAACGTGAGATTGATTTTTAATGTTAGAAGTCTGGTTCTCTCTCTGCCTATAAAAGGTCAGAACAAATTCGTTCTATCATTCACATAAAATAAATTTTACGTATTCTGGCATTGAGGCTAAGAGAGAGAAACCAGATGATCCAATTCATCATCCTAACCAGAAGATCCAACTTATCGTTTTGTATACGAGAATGGTTTCCAACCAAGGTCAGTATATAACATATACATATTTCATTGATTTTGTGATAATCATAAAGTTCAAGGTCGTGTGAATTAATTTTATTATATGTGATTTTAAACTTACAAAAAATCACCCAAATTAAACATATCTAAACAACACATAAATATATGAAATGAAATAATTTTGGTTCTTATATCAAAATCCTTAACAAATAGTTCGACACAAACAAATTGATGTACAAGTTAAGCACGAAAACCGTACATACGGGAAAATTGCAAGAAAATATCTTACATATATAAACCTAATATTATTACTTTCTCCCATATTTATCTACTTACAAAATATATTCAGCACATCTCCAAAAATTGCATTTTTCGAACCTGAGCCGTATGTAATCTTCACGTCCTAAACAATTTCACTTGCTTTGTTCCTCTCTAATGTTTTAAGGCCAGGTGGCAGATTCTG